TGTACCGCGCCCGAGGTAAACAATTGACGTCACTTGGCGGAGACCGATAGGCACTTCCTGTTGCCTGTTATCATGGTGACTCCTCAAATTGGAGTTCCACTGTTAATAGCTCTTCATTGTTGTTACGCATGAGTTCAACTCATGAGCGTAACATCTACTTGGAGCTGATTTAACTAACTTATGGCAGCAGCTGTAAAACCGAAAACTCAGTTTCCAACCTGAGGCTAGATTAATTCAGAGTTGAGGATTTTTAGTCTGAGTTTGTTAATCCTGTTATGTGAAATGGGCCCCTGTCATCTTCACTTCAATTCAGCCCCAATACAAATACTTGTTCTTGATCAATGAAGTGTAACTACATTCATGCAGACCAATAAAAATGCATCTTAGCTCCTCCATTCAGAGGAAAGCAGCCTACAGACTACAAAAACAGAAATTTGAAAAAATTGTAAAAAATAAGATTCAAGAAATACAATATGGAATTTTTTTTTGAAAGACTTCAATATGGAAGAAATACAATTTAGAAAATAAGATTTTTAAAAACATAAAAAATAAAATATAAACAATAAAATAATTTGAAAAAATAAAATCTAAGAAAACAACAAAGTTACTTTAGATTTTTGATTAAGAAGTTTTATTTCTGGATTGCATTTAAAAAAATTTTTTTAATTTTCATTTCCCAAACTCTTCTTTCCTTGCAACAATAATGGAACAAAGCTCACTCCGTACATCTAAAGAGTTATAACAGTTATTCAACGGGATTCAACCCTCAATTATTTCCATTTCCAGACTTTTTGTGTAGTACTTACATTACTTAAATCATAAGTCAGATATAAAGATAACTGTTGTTAAGTTTTAAAATTGGAAGCTATTAAATATATGTTTATGTGATCATTTAGGCATGAGGACTAACCTTAAAGGTTTGAATTCCTCAGCTATGGTGCTGTAGGGTTAGAGGTGAACTTAATGTTAAGGAATTCATGAATTCAGTAATTTTTTTTTCTACTTTTCCCTTTCTGGGGTTTCCATACCGAGTCTCCTGTCTCCATCTGACCCAGTCTTCTACCTTCATAACTTCTTTCATTCCATGCCTAAATCTCTTGGTCTCCTGCCTGGCAGTTCCAGCCTTAACATCCCTCCTTAGTTCATGTCTAAACTATCTCAGTCTGGCTTTATCGCTAAAACATCCAACATGAGCTGATCCTTTGATGTCCCCTTTCCTATTCATCCTCATCACCCCTGGAGAATCTCCATGTCTTCTACCTCCAGCTCTGCCTCCTGGCCCTTCCTCAGATGCTACCATGTCTTTAATATTTCCTCTCATTCTCTCTTACACTTGTTTTATCACACAAAATTAAGATTTATAAAATAAAAAGTATTTTTATTAATGATTGAAATTATTTTTTTAATTTTTTGTTAGTTTATTATTTTATATTTCCATCTTATTTTCATGGTTTCAGTATTGAAAGTCAGACTTCTGAACAAAGATGTGCAATGATGTCAGAGAGCTAATTGGAGAAAACTGGGATTTTGACATCAAATTCATACATGACCCCCTCTGTTGGTAGTGATTTGTGTGCAGCAGGTGGTGGTGTTGGACAGAGTTGAAGAGGATTAGTAAAAGATCTCTTGGTTGTCGTTTGTTTGATATACTCATTAAAACAATTATGATGGTGACGGTTTTTCAATTGTATTCCTCAAGCAAGGAGCAGAGCTGGAGCTCCGGGATACTAGAGGCTGGACGGCTCTGTTTCACTGCACCAGCACAGGCCATCAACAGATGGTCAAGTTCCTGCTCGATAACAACGCGGACGCCAATGTCAAGTTGGTGTTTTCACTTCTTTAAAATCCAATTGATATATTTTTAAGCAGTATTCATGTATTTATTCCTTTTTTTTTTTTGTTCTGACAGAGAACCTGTGTCAGGTTTCACTCCTCTGATGGAAGCCGCTGCTTCTGGACATGAAATCATTGTTCAGTACCTCCTTGATCGAGTGAGTGTGGCTGTGAGGTTGCTCCATGCTGGTGTTTTTCATACGGATTATGTTATTAAACATGTTTTCTCCACAATCTATTTACAGAAAGTGAAAGTTGGTGAGCGTAATTCGAAGGGGGAGACGGCCCGTGGCCTGGCCATGATGTACGGCTACATCAAGATTGTTGGCCTCATAGACTCACGTTCTCAAAGAATTAAGCCAGGTGTTTATTGCTTACTATTGTCCTGAGATACAGAAACCATTTTTTTTCATTGATTCTTTTTTGCATTTTCTCTTGAACTTGTCAGGACACTTTGAAGACCTAAGCTCCTCAGAAGACTCGGACAGCTCTCCGCCGAGGACTCGGCCCAGTCGAAGCCGAGTCAAAGGCGTCAGCATCCATGATGGACCTCAGGCCATTGCCAAGTTCAGAGTTGGAGGAAAAGGCAAACAATGTGGTGGGTCACAGAAAAAAAACCCAGCATCTTCAGGTGTTGTGACGTTACAACCACAAACTTCAGAGTGTTTTATTAGGAACTTATGTGAGGGACCAACATAAAGTAGAGCCAAGAGACGTATTCAGAGGTGCAGCCAGGAGATCCATGGTTTCTCTGGATGTGGGAGAATCCACTGTCCTTTATTAAGGCCCCGTCCACACGAAGACGAACCCTGGCCTAAACGCACAAATTTTTCACCAAACCAGCCTCTCATCCACAC